ACTAGAGTAATAGTGTATATTAATATGGGTGATTATTGATGGGTTACTAGAGTAATAGTGTATATTAATATGGGTGATTATTGAATGGTTACATGAGTTAATATGGGTGATAACACTGTTACTAACCTCTGGCTTGAACATGTACCAAATACCGTCCATAGCACCAGGTAAACTTATACCACGGCCAAAGAAGATAATAAGCACAATGTAGGGGAAGGTTGCAGTAAAATAAACAGCCTGGAAAACAAATCACTGATTGTTAGTATTAAGATAACTAAAAACTGCTACCCAGTTTGCTCAATGGGTTGAGCATAATACTTGTTTTGCAGGAGGTTGCAGGTTAAAACCCCAGCCTCAAAGATATTAGTTCATAAAACTATTACATACTTTTTAAATTTTTCAAATTTTGTTTATTTTTGAAAATATGTTTCCCATGCTTTAAGAGTGATCTACAGCTCCCATAGTGTTTCTGTCACAAAAGAGAGACATCAGCAAACATTTTACGTTGCTTTTATAAAAATCTTTTAGAATAATTTTGTGTGAGCATGTCTCTGTCCTGTGGTATACAGTGGATTCCAAAAATGTTGTTGTCGACCAACTCAAACCTACAAGACTGGACCGAAGGGAACTCTGGGTAGTAATCATTGAAGCCGAGTTGACTCCATAATTTTATCTGACTAGTTATGCCTGGTTTACAGCACCAACCTTCGTAGGCGAGCGAGGAGTATTGAAGGAGACGTTTTTTTTAATGCCTTTATATTTTTGGAATTGTGAACTGAATCATAACTACTTTGTTTTTCTTTCCCTTAAACCCAAAGACATGCATTTGATAGATTGCTTCTGGCCATTATTATCTTATCAGTGGGAAAAATTAATTCAGAACGAATATTTAACCACTTCAGTGATTTTTACCCATATTCCTTTCGGTCCAGTCGCGTAGGCTTGAGCCGGTTGATGACAACATTTTTTGAATTGACTTTAAACACAGTATGCAGCCAGTGCTGATGTTAATTCTCAAATATTTTAGAAATATACATATAGAAACAATGATATAAATCATAAACCATTTCATAAAGTTTTACGTATGTCTCACCTTGCCAGCTGATTGGACACCTTTCATCATGCAAAGCCAAACCACTATCCAAGCAAGCAACAAAGACAATGCCAAATGCCAGGTAATGCCACCACTTTCATTAATGCTTGAACTGGCTTTAAGTGCATTTTTGTACCAGTAATATTGGGTTCTCCCTGCTTTGTCACACTCTGGAATCATGACACTCACATTGTTTACTATGGTGTATGGGCAATTAGCATAGGGCAGAGGGTTTTGCCATGATGCAAACAGATAATAGAAACACCATGCAATGATCATGTTGTAGTACATCCCAACAAAGAGGCATACTATAACACTGGCAAACCCTACCCCTCCCAGGTAAGGGTGAATGTAGTTCCATACTCCAATGGACCCTTGTCGCACACTTTGACCAATGCCAAGCTCAAGGAAAAACAGTGGGATTCCAAGCAGGAACAGACTGATGAAGTATGGAATTAGGAATGCTCCTGTAATCACAAAAAAACACAGCAGGTTAACCACATTAACCTTAGAATCATATAATAGCAGCAGTATACCAATTTTATATATATATAATATATATAGTTTCATTTTTAATACAACTATGTACTTCTGAAGATGGCAAATGCTTTGCCAAAACATGTCAAGTAAAGGCTTTTAGAGTTTACGAAGCATTTTTCATTATTTTTGAATTATTTAAGAATACAGTACAAGAAGCAATTCAGAGGTTTTGCAACATAATTTGTGTGATGACAGCGATGTTAGATTGCAGAAACAATATAACCAGTTTACATGAGAAAGAGTTAGAAAAAAACTTCAATTTTAGGCTGGTCTAAGTCAGGGCATGGCTAAGTTACAGATTGAATCCTGAAACAACCTCTGGGGCTGATCTAAGTCAGTGGCTAACTCACAGATCAAATGAAATTTAACTTGTTAGGTTTGGCAGAGAGAGGTAAACCAAAGGAGGTCAAGAAAAACCCTTAAATCAAAGGAGACTTTATACATGCTATTCATGTGTTATGTTATCACAAAGAGGAAGCTGTCATTCAACTCATCTTTTTGTTTATGCTGGTATAGAAAGGTATTATAGATCAGGTACTTAAAAGATGTTTAGAAATATACTGTTTCTACAAGCATTAAGACACTTGGAATTATGACAATGATAATACCACTTAACATTGGCTCACAGTAGCGCCCAACCTCATGTAAGATTATACTGTCTAGTTGTACTCAGTCAAAGGATTAATTTCAGAAATGGGAGGGAGAGACTAGGTTCCTCTATAGCATATTTCATTTTGTCTCAATGCGCTTTATATGTATGACCATTGTAGGACTTAACAAAATGTTTAAATAAAGTATTTTTAAAACGTGTTTACCACTCTTTTCACTGCTACACACTGATTGAGACAACAGACGCAACAGGGAAATAGGGCAATACACTGCCACCAATCAAAGAATATAAAGGTACAGACCAATTTATTTGATTGCTGTCTTGATCAGTGCATAGCAATGAAAAGAGTGATAATTTGCATTCTTTTATGTGTTTTATTCAATAATATTATGATGTGGAATGTTAACATCTTTGTTGAACACGAATGTAGCATAAAGATAGTATCTTGGCAAATCTTATGTATTATAGGTTTAACCCCTTAAAACACTCCTTAAGATATACGATACTCTTGCCCCGAGAATGTAAGCACATGACTTTCACATGAGGCTAAAAGGATGCGCATATTCTTATAACTATGGAAACAACGATGTCATCATGTATTTCACAAACGACTTGTATTTTACTTTTGAAGTTAGATTGTAATGGTAGTTCATTACTGTGAACTATGTTGACTTGCTGAAGAAGGAAATATGTCTAACCAATGTCATTGGCTGAGGTAGCCTAGATTATGACTTTCAAAGTCTATATTATGGGGTCTAAATCTTCTTTAGTTGTATAAAAGGTGTAATCAAGACCCTACCTTAACAGTATAGAGGAATACAATATTAAGAATCACGAAATATGCGAAACGTGTGACCTTGTTCAGAACTCTTAGTGTACTGATAGCATGCCATTGATATTTTAATATGTCTCCCGCAACTATGATCAGCGATGGATGTTTGACCATTTGTTCAACATGTATCTCTCACTACAGTATGCTATATCTAATGTATACATACAGGATTGCTAACAACACTTATACTGTTAGAATTAACTTACTTTGTTCTTTACAGTCCTAATACGATAGGGATTCACGCTCAAGAGTATCTAACAGGAAGGGACTTTCAACCACACCAGACAACAAAAACCCTCGGCTTGTATGACAGATATTTACTCGTCTAAAACTAAGATATGTTATATGTTTGCTTTATTTGCGGCTGAGTTAACCATCGATCTTTCTTTTGTTTGTTTAGAAAGTCGCGTGTTAAACTAGCGAGGAATGAATGATGCAATGGTTTGAATAAATCAATGATGTATTAAGGTCTGTGAATAAGTTACCAAAGGTTATATATATATACAGTGATAAGTATAGTAGACAAGTGACTAGATCATGTTCGCATCGTGTGTAAGAAGTATGAAGAAAGGAATAACTGGACTATTATTATAGACATCTAAAACCCTGCGTCGGATCGGAAAAGGAATGAAAAACGAAAAAATAAACATTGCGCACTATGTAAACCAATTGATACAAAAGAAATTTTAAAAATCTTTTTCATTATAAAAACAAACGAATAAGTTACTGCTATAATAGTTGAAAAAAGAACATTTGATCCATGTTTGGGGCGATTCTATCTCCCATCCGGATACGCGGTACTAGAAGTACAAAACACAAGAGTACAATATTACTACGGTACCTCCTCCGTTCTTCTGACAAAGATAGGGAAAACGCCAGACATTGCCAAGACCGACAGCAAACCCCACAGTAGCACAGATAAACTGCAATTTGTTCCCCCATGATTCTCGCTTTCCATCGTCGATAGTAACGTGTTTTTGTATGGTTACTACAGCTTGTTGTTCTTTCACTATGTTCTTTTCAGGATCTCCAGTAGGGTTCGGGTTTGTTGGTAGGGTAACTTTGATGTCCTCTGGCTGTGCGCTACCATTCTGTGTAGTACTCACTTTAACGAGTTTTACGGGTCCTTCCTCGTGTTCCATGATTACTGATATCTGATGATCAAGTGTTCTAGAACTGCTAAAAAAGAGCGCCTACAGTACAGACGTAAACAAAGAAAGGCCAACTTGCTCAAATGTAGCGACCACGTGTCCGAGACAAGATTTTCTTTTTCGTTTTCTGCGTTAACGTATCGGAGAGAAAGACAGAAAACTTCGTCAAATTGGATTTCTGTACTATTTCAGCGGTTTTGAAGTAGAGCGCAAGTCTTGACAAAGAAAGAGAACACGGGGAACATTGAGCGACGTTACCTATGCTAACTGCGCGGCAGTTGTTTCTGAATGAAATGCGTGATCGAAGCGTAATAATATACCAGTGCGAGTACGAAAGATAGCTGTCAATCAATCAATGTTATCCTAGACAAGCTATGACGCAGTATCATACTCTACAATTTATTTAATTCATCTTTTCCATTTGTGTTTCGGCAGCTTTCCAGATGAACACATAGTGTCTTCAAGCAGTAACATTACGTTATATACTTTAAAACGAATTTCTCGTCGATTACCGAATTTTATTTTCGCGGGAAATCACAACCAATCAGAAAAGAGAATGTATGTCAACATGTATAAGTTAATATAAAGGCCGTTTTGTTTTTTCTTTATATTGAGGTAAGCTTTGATCAAATAAAACCTTTTATTAGCAACTCAAAAATGTTTCACAGCAGTGGCGGTTTGGAGTCAATTCTCTCTAGTTAGGGATGCAACATTGGATAATTGATGGGGGGGGGGGGGTTACAGGAACTTTGGTTACATGATATTTATTTTTTTTGGCTCAACCCTTGCACATTATTTTTTTGCGTACAGTTAGATATTTTCTTCTAGCTGAAAAGGTAGCACGATATGTTTTTTAGGTTGAAGTGCTTGCTCGATATTTTTTTGGGGATTTACGTTAGTTAATAGAGATCCCTGTACTTAGACGTGGGCTGATTATCCATGAACTTTGCACCCCTGCCCGTTCTATTGGTTTCAGCGCATTTCAGTCACGTTTGCATAACTGATTTTATTGCGCGTCGTATCATTACAACATGACGATTCCTTAAGTTGTTTTGTTTCAAAATACGCATGTCAATCAAAGACACTTGATACAATCTGTACCTGTAGATCTTCCTGGTATATCCGGATTATCTTTGCCGGTTATTAACGCGGGTTTTTTCAGTTAACATATAAGGTCGATTGGTCATCCCTTTTCCGGAGTCGTCTCGACAACCAGTTCGATCAAGTACAAAATCACGCACCTTGATTTCTTATGATTAGTTAAACCCGTTCTTGAATTTGTTTAGATAACAAATTAGATTATAATTAGCCTATAATTCGTTTGTAATTTGATTGATCCAGTATATAAAGGATAGGAGTGGATGGAAGTAAGTGTCAAGTTTATATTGCAATGTATATCATCGATTGAATGGGTAAAGAAGGGCCCTGGGTCAGTTTCGGGTATAGAGATATATTAGTAAATGTTACCATTTTTCAGATATAGTGATACTAATATATAGTTGTACGAAGGAAGGATAGCGCTATCCGATAGTCAAATCCTTATCCATCAATAAAGCCTTTACTAATTGTATTTAATTGTATTTAATTGTTTCCTGGTGAATAACTTTATCCCGTATTTCTACAACCTATTGCACGTTCGTCACCTAGAAAAGGTCATGTGACTGTTAGTTATGCGTATACGCCGCGACTCTGTGCGGGGTAGAACGCCCTAAGGAGAATAACGGCTGTGTCAGTACTGATTGGAAGTGCTCAGCTACAGTTTGAAGACATTTCTTTCTTTCTTTCTTTCTTTC